ATATATATAAGTAGTTGCTCTGTTCTCAACTTTTTCTGCCCCTGCTTTAACTCTGTGTTCGTAAACACTAAACATAAACTGTGAGAGTATTCCTACGAGTGCGAGAGCGACAGTTTGTAAGCCTAAAGCTTCCACGTATTAGCTTAAAATCAACTGAGAATTTCTTCTTTATTCTCAAAATCAAAGGATATGGAGATTAGTAAGGTTACCTTGGAGATATTCTCGAAGCTTGAGCAGCAATGGCTTTCTCAACGAGAAAGCAGCAAGAAGACGCGTGTCCTTAGCATTGACGGTGGCGGAACAACCGGCATACCATCCGGCGCCGCCTTGATCCACCTCGAAGACCAGATCCAAGCCAAAACAGGTAACTCTGGTTCTCGCATCATCGATTTCTTCGATATCATAGCCGGTACCGGCATTGGAGCACTCCTGGCGGCAATGCTTAACGCCGATGACGGAAACGGCCGTCCACGTTTTACTGCGAGAGAGGCGGTTAAATTTATCAGCGACAGGAACTCGGAGCTGTTTAAGGTGAAGAATGTTGGCGTAGTTCACCGTAGACGGATGTTTTCCGGCAAAAGTATGGAGAAGGTGTTGAAGGAGGCGTTAACTAGAGACGACGGAAAGGTTTTGACGCTGAAGGACACATGTAAGCCTCTGATTGTTCCCTGCTATGACCTGAACAGCTCTGCGCCCTTTGTTTCTCCCGAGCCGACGCCTCCCAATCGGCTAGCTACAACTTCGATCTCTGGAAAGTTTGCCGAGCCACATCGTCTGATCCGTCAATGCTCAAGCCATTTCATCTCACATCAGTCGACGGTAAAGCCTCCTGCTTCGCCGTCGACGGCGGTTTAGTGATGAACAATCCGTCCGCCGCCGTGGTGACTCACGTTTTACACAATAAACGCGATTTCCCCTCCCTCACGCGGGCGTCGAAGACCTCTTAGTCCTTTCCTTAGGTAACGGTCCGTTGAGCAATTCGCCTCATCCAAAGGTTAGCGGTAGCGGCCATTGTCTGAATCAGTGCGTCGTTGGCATTGTTCTCGACGGTGTATCGGAAACTGTTGACCAAATCTTAGGTAACGCTTTCTGCTGGAACCATGCCGATTACGTTAGAATTCAGGTAAGCTTCTGAAGAAATTCGTTTCCTAATTACAAACATACATTTGTTTTATGATCTTCAACCGGAAAACACGCTGATCGGAGAGTTTATATTTTGCAGGCGAACGGTTACTTGAACGGCGGGGTAGGGCCGACGGTGTCGATGGAGAAGATGTTGAATGAGAGAGGAGTGGAAACGTTGCCGTTTGGGGGTAAGCGGTTAATGACGGAGACTAACGGACAGAGAATCGAAACCTTTGTACAGCGTCTTGTAGGAAGTAGTTTACCTCCGAGTCCGTGTAAAAATACTACCGTTAGTCAACATGTTGACGGTCGTTAAGCCTTACTGTTATTATTGTTTTTTTTTTTCTCCGTATTTTAGGGTTTTTAACTTTGTTTTTGTGTTTTAGGTTTCCTACTTAAAATGTTGTATCATGTTTCAGTTCTATTATCATGTTGCAGTTAGTAATAAAATTTATGATAACGACACATCGAGTATTATTGTAGCAAAAGAAACTTTGTAAGTAAAAAGAACATAATTTCAGTCTAATGTTATTTTACATATTTACAAAAGAAAATGTCGTTAATGTACTTAAAAAGACTAATAATCAAACAAGTTTATCAATCAAAAGAATTATTATTTCAAATAATTAAGGTTGTAGTTGGCACACTATAACTAAGTTATAAGTTAATTTAATTTTTAAAATTTTTAAAATTGTCGTGTTTAACAATAAGGCTAGTCGGTGTACGATCTCACCACTTCATCAACACGTTATTTTTTCCTCACCACCCGTCACTAATAGGAAATTACCACATCTCACATTTTTAATTAAATATATTAAAATATAATTTAATAATTATAAAAAATTAATAAAAAAAATAAAACTATTTCATTAATTAAAAAAATACATAAATAAAAAACAATTTTATTAAAAATCAAACGAAACTAAAACTTATTAAAATAGTTCTTCACCACTCATTGTCGGTCATAATGTCGTCAAAATCCTCGTCTAAATCTTTATTCGTATCATAGTCATCGGCAGGTGTTAGTTTAATATCGATGATATGTTCCACCAAGTCAGCGCGAATGTTGTGGGGTCCAGCGCGGTCGTATACTTCTCGTTGTTCGTCACATATTTCGACATATCAATACCTACTCCTTCAAATATTGGTAAATTTTCATTTTCATTGTGGTGGCAAATTGTTTTTCCTTCATCTTCCATAATCATATTATGCAATCTCATTGTAACACCGTAAATTTTCAAACCAAATTTTTTATTTTTTAAAACAAATCAAACTCATGTATTATATTTCATAAAAACCACAAGTGTCTCAATGTAAACATAAATCCACAAACGAAAGTCAAATCCCAGAATCCTGAACATAGTCTCGAACAGGTGTGTACAATCATGCCGACGCCTTCCCGCGATCCTGAGAAGTATCTGAAACACATATCACACCACACAGTAAACACAAAGCTTAGTGAGTTCTCCAAAATACCACATACATAAATAATAAGTCTTTCATGGCTATAACTCGGCATGGACCCTCAAGTCTCATGCGTCTCGGTGTGGACCCTCTGGTCATGTGTCTCAGTGAGGACCCTCCGGTCTCACAGCTCGGTTTGGACCCTCCGGTCTTGTATCAGTGGAAACCCTCCGGTCCCACAACTCGGGTTGGACCCTCCGGTCCTATCTCAGTAAAACACAAAATATAGCATATATATCACACAGACAAAACGCATAATATCGCATAACTCAAATAAGCACATAAGACCCTCCGGTCACACATAGATACCACTCATGGTAAGTATAGTGAGAAAACTTACCTCGTAAGTAGGCTAAGAAAATGTGTACTCCTCGAACACGAATCACCAGATCTAGCCTACATGTAACAAGCATCTATAATTAACACTTAAAGGTCACAATTCCAAATAAACTCATGATAATCCCTCTTCAGCTCTTAGGATGGGTAAAAGACCATTTTACCCCTCCATGGTCTCCATAAGTCCTGCCTTGACCAAACCCTAAAGTCAACAAAAGTCAACACTCAAGTCAACTGTCCATGTTGACCTGACTCGCCGAGTGCACCTATGTGACTCGCCGAGTCCCCATTGTTCCTCAGAAGATCGCGAAAACCCAACTTAACTCGCCGAGTCGTCTCGTCGACTCGCCGAGCTACCCATATCCAGACTCATCAGGGAAAACCCTAGCCGACTCATCGAGTCAGCTCATCGATTCGTCGAGTCCCTTAAGTCAACTTCTCATTCAGACGTTTTAAGGCAGATCTGCTACTCCAAACTCTAGATCTAGACTCCTAAGGTTCTAATGTAATGTAAAGCTTCGATCTTTACGTGCATGCATGACATATTTGCTCCATAATGCCACTACAAGCTCTAACTAAGGTGCTTAAGCACAATAACTATTTTATGGTTGGATAAAGCTGGGACCTTTGGACTTTATGGACCTCACAAGGTCCAGATCTGAAGTCTAGACCTACTGATAAGCTCAATGCACTCAAAGTCCCAATAAAAGGTGGTAAAAGCCCTAACTTCCATGATCATGAGATCTAACCAATAAGATGAGAAAGGTGTAGGCTTTTTACCTTCCATAGAAGCTCTGGACGAAATAGCACTAGATCCAATAGTTTCTCCTTGCTCCTTGCTGGATAATCTCCTTTTCTCCTCAAAATATTCACTAGAATACTCAAGGATTAGTTCTATAACTCTCTTAGCTCACTACAAACGTTTAGGGTTTCACACAGGGGAGTTGGGTAGCTGGTGAGGCGGAAATGAGGACATAAGTTCCTTTAAATAGGTCCCAACCCCGGAGATTTAGGATTTCATCTGACAGCGCCAACTCGGCGAGTCGACTCCATGACTCGTCGAGTCAGTCTTTAAACCCACATGCTCAAACCAACTCTACTCGACGAGTTGAACACCCAACTCGTCGAGTCACTCATAAATAAATGAAGTACCTGGGAGTCGGGATGTTACACTGATGCATGCATACATCAGTCTGTGTATTCTTGTATGCTCGAATGATCGTGTTGGTACTATGAGTATCTATCAATGTCTTTTTAAAACAGTAAAGGCCCATTCGACTTCCTTCCTAGCTGATAATTCTACTCATTTTCATAATTATACTACTCTAGAACGTCTAAATACCCATTATAAGTTCACATTTCTTAACAATATACAAGTATGGCGTTCACACTAAGTCTGTCATTGACCTGTAATTGTCTTATACCAAAGTACAAGTATAACCCTACGGATTCCAATCCTAAACATAACAATACACAATAATCATACTACTGTATTTGACACATAATCAACGCAATACAATAATAACATACATCTAAACAATATATATCTAAAACAAAGTGAGGTTACTCACCTGGTTAGTTAGTGAAGACTAACTATGATTCCGACCTCAAACTCTTTACCGCTTCCCAATCCATCACTTGTCCAGACCTATTTGGACAATATATCAATTTCATTAGAACTTGTCTCAACTCACCACTATATAAACCACAGTGATCATTTATATGATCAACGACTAAACCTGGTAACCACTGGTTATCAAACTAATCAAGTTTTCAATTATAATCACCTAACGACTAATCCCCATACTACTTTAGCCCAGTCGAAAAATCTTGGAAAACTAGTACTTGGCTAAGGGATCTCCACCCCTCTAGACATTAGTAAGAATTTGACTAATGGGTTATTAATCACGACTATATTAATGATAGGTGATTGTTAAATAAAATATTAATCACGGCTATCTTAAAGATAGGTGATTGCTAAATAAAGTATTAATCACGACTATCTTAATGATAGGTGATTGTTTAAAATATTAATCACGACTATCTTAAAAATAGGTGATTGCTAAATAAAGTATTAGTAACGACTATCCTAATGACAATTGATTTTTTAAAGTATTAATCACGAGTATCTTAAGGGAAAAGCCTAAATGATAAGTGATTGTATTAGGAAAATATAAATCACTACCATCAGTTATGAACTCTAGATAGTAAATTTACTCCCTGTAGAACTAAATTATAAGAATGATTAATAATAATTAAAAATATACTCTCGATATTCTTCCAATAGTGTTTTCGCGTCAAGCACTCCTAGTTGAATTTCGGGGACGAAATTCCTTAAAGGGGGGGGGGGGGAGGGAATGTAACAATTGCGACTTTTGGCACCGATTGTTGTTTACAAAAAGTGACAAACACTGAGTATTGTAACGCTTGATTTCCCGGTATGATTCTAATTCCGAGTTATTTATGTTCTCTTTGGGACACGGCGTGTCGATATGTATTTGTCCGTGGAGTTTAATGAACCAACAGGGCATGTTGAGGTGCCTCAACACGGCGTGTTGGCAGCTGGGAAGGAAACCCTAAATTTTTAGGGTGTTGCACCTTATTTAAAGGCCTTATGTCCCCTTGACCGGCCTCCATACCAGCCTCTTTTGTTACCTAAAACCCTAAATCGAGTATTGAGCTTTCTTGGTGGTGTTCTTGAAGTTTTGAGTGAATTATTATGGATTTCGTGTGCATTAGAAGGAGCCTTGGAGTTTGAAGGTGCCTAGCTTGGAAGGAAGGCCATAGATCTAGAATCTCACCACTTGTTGCAGTCTCCTTGAGGTATCAAGTTTATACCTTGCTTTGTTGTTGATTAGATCTTCTCTTATGGAGTTTTGCTATGATTTTTGGCTCATTGTTGGGTTGTCTAAGGAGTTAAGTTGTTTCATGGGTTGTCCTGTTAGACCTGAGCATTTTGTGACCTCCTTTGGCTTAAAGGTGCAAGATTTATAAGAATCTAGGTCTCATGCATGCATTAAGTCCTTTATTAAGCCCTTCTTGAGCTTTAGAGCTTCTCTTTGGCATGCATGAACGTAAAGTTGGCAACTTTACGTGGTCTTCCAGCTCTAGGGTGTCAGATCTGCATTTTGGGGCTATGTCTTTGAAAGTGCTTAATGGTTAATCCCTCACTCTATTAAGCTTATGGTTTGGGTTTTGGACCCATTTGGTGGTCCGTAGGGGTAAAGTTGGAAACTTTACCCTTCTAGATATCATTTTGTTGAGATCTGAGCTTTGGAGCTCTTAGATTCATTGAAGACAACTTAATGTATTAAGTTGTTGGAATTCAGTCGAACACGGCATGTTGGATTGGTTTTTCCCGATGTTGTTTATGATGGAGAAACATGGCGTGTTGAAGGACAACACGGCATGTTGGGTCAACACGGACTGTTGACCTTGAGTTTTGACCTTTTCCTTTGACCCAGTATGACCTAAGGGGTAGTTGAGGTAATCTGAGGTGTATCTAAGTATTGGTCATTGTTTGTTGTTAGGTAGTGGGTAGAGCTGATATTCGGAGACGGGACCTATTCAGCTATCGTTCGGATTTTGAGGTGAGTTTCCTTACTGGGTTTTAGTGGGTCTAAGGCACCAATGTCGGACCTTATTGATCATGTTAGG